TGTCTGGAAAGGCACCCGGTGCACGGGCAAGAGGTGAGGGTCCTGGCAGAAAGGCATGTGGACTAAAGACGGGCTTTTTTCAGCCACATACCTTCTTGCCGGGACCCTCACCTGAGTATAAGCCGAGGGGAGGTTTTTCATCCTAAAAAAGGGCTGAAAAACTTGGCTTATACTTGAGTATATACAGTATATATATATTTAAAATAAGTGGCATGACAATCGTATTTAGCCCTCTCAAGGATTATCATAGGTGGGGTCCAAGAATAGGACCCCACCTTAGGGATTTAAATGATAAGAAAGAGGACTGCACCAAATCTTAGGCTGAACTTCTCAAAGTATTCTGTTTGAAATCAGATGTTTACCCACAAAGACTGACCACGAGAAAGGCAGTCCAGTCCCATGGTGATGCCAGTGTTCAGAGAAGCAAAAGAGTTCTCCAATACCCAAGTCAAACAAAGCAAAATAATCATAATAATAAATGAACAAGAGTTCAAAACCAAGCAGAGAGTTGTCTAAGAGATCAGTCCAAAGTCAAGCCAAGTCCTATTTGAAGCCAAGGGAACCACACATGTTCATTGGGAAATGTTGAATGTTTCGTCTACTGCACCAGAATGTCCAGAACCCGCAATTTCCCTGTTGTGACAGATTTTATTAGTTTTGTCCCAGCTCTTTGGATGGTTTTTCTCCTGTACGTAGTCTCTGACGGTTCAAAAAGTATGAACCCTGATAAATATATTTCCCACATGCCTGGCCTTTGTTTGTTTTTTAACCTGTGTGAATTCTGTGGTGCTTTGTAAGGGATGAAGTGTGAGTAAAACATTTCCCACAATCTGGTCATCTGTATGGTTTTACTCCTGTGTGAATTCTCTGGTGGTTTAGAAGGGATGAATTCTGAGTAAGAGATTGTCCACAATCCTGACATTTGTACAGTTTCTTTCATGTATGGATGATCTGGTGTTTCACAAGTGATAACTTCCAAGGAAAACACTTCACACACTCCTAGCATTGGTATCGCTTCTCCTCTGTGTAGAGTCTTTCGGGCTTCACCAAATCTGAACTCCAAGCAAAACATTTCTCACACTTCTGGCATTGTTATGGTTTCTCTCCCGTATGGAGTCTTTTGTGCTTCACAAAATCTGAACTCCAAGCAAAACATTTCTCACACTCCTGGCATTGGTATGGCTTCTCTCCTGTGTGAAGTCTTTTGTGGCTCAACAAAGAGGAACTGTGGGCAAAACATTTCCCACACTCCTGGCATTGGTATGGCTTCTCTCCTGTGTGGAGTCTTTTGTGCTTTACCAAGGTTGAACTGTGAGCAAAACCTTTCCCACACTCCTGGCATTGGTATGGCTTCTCTCCTGTGTGGAGCCTTTTGTGACTCACCAAGTGTGAACTGTCAGCAAAACATTTCCCACATTCCTGGCATTGGTATGGCTTCTCTCCTGTGTGGAGTCTTTTGTGTTTCACCAGGGCCGAACTGTCAGCAAAACATTTCCCACACTCCTGGCATTGGTATGGCTTCTCTCCTGTGTGGAGTCTTTTATGTTTCACCAAGTCTGTACTGTGAGCAAAACATTTCCCACACTCCTGGCATTGGTATGGCTTCTCTCCTGTATAGAGTTTTTTGTGTCTCACCAAGTATGAACTGTATGCAAAACATTTTCCACAATCCTGGCATTGGTATGGCTTCTCTCCTGTGTGGAGTCTTTTGTGCTCCACCAAGTGTGAATTTTGAGCAAAACATTTCCCACACTCCTGGCATTGGTATTGCTTCTCTCCTGTGTGGAGTATTCTGTGGCTCACCAAGTGTGAACCTTGAATAACAGATTTCACACATTCCTGGCTTATGAAAGCCTCAGTTTCTTCAAAGATTTCTTCTTGGCTCGGATCTGGCAATTTGTAATCGGCAACACATTTTGCTGATACTTTCCATTTACAGTGGCTTTTCCCAGCACTGARTGTCGCGTGAAGTCCCATATTTTGGGTAAAGCACTGCCCACATACATTGCATTTGAAGGGTCTTTCTCTGGCAGAACCTCCATCTTCTCTGTGGCTTTCCTGGCGCTTAGGAAGGCCCCCATTGGGTCCCAAATGTTTCCCGTGTTTGGTGTTCCAGTTATCTGCTGTGAAGAAGGAGGATAGTAACAATCATTCTTCAGTGTGCGTGATAAGGACTCTAGGGAAATGGTATAAGAAAGAGATGGAAATGATCTTTTTTACAACATTGTTATGGAAGAAAAGAAGATATAACTGCTGTCCTCACCCCACCCCTTGTTTGACTGCCTGGATCCTCTAAGTTGTTGTTGTTGTTGTCTATTTAAAGATGGACACTCTTTGACTGACTGGCGCCTCTAAGGGAAAGGTGCTCCAGAGGCTACTCCTCAGACCAACCACTTTTTTTTTAATTTTGTCTCCTCTTTTCTAGGGGAATGKATGACTTTTCTCTTCACATTCCAATGCTTGCCTTCTTTWCTAGCTAAATCTTTACCTTGCTACCACTCATTTCACAATCGCTCCCTCCTTTTTATTTCTCTCCCCAACCTCCGGTTCTCTCTTCCCATGTTCAATTAAGGTTCGATTTTTCTGCTCCAACGTAGAATGTCCTATAACTAATTTCAGAGAGCTACAGAGATTGTTACAGTTTTGCATGACAAGGCAGGAAAGATACAAGATAGTGACTGTAAAAAAAAGGGAGAACAATAATGAAGGCAGAGAAGGGAACAATAAAAGGAAGGTCTGCAGTACTCAACCAGATATAGTGACCTCCACGTAACACCAYCCTGGAGAGAGTGGATATTGCCTCCTAACCATCCCAGTTTGTGAGGAGTGAGAAGACTGTGCACCAGAGGGAAGAGATGGTGGTAATCCAAATGCCGCAATCACAGAGACTTCTTGGAAATACCATTCTGAGGTCTCTCCCTTTGTTCAGCCAATTGCTCTGGTTCCAATACCAATATAATTCTTCATGGCTTTTACAAGGGAGCTGCAACTTCTTCACATATGAGAATTTAGGRAAGTGGCAGTGGATATATAAACTATTTCCTGACCTTTAGGGTGGAATAATTTTACATAGTGTTTCAAAAAGATGGACTCAGATTGATTTCTGCAATTGTGAATCTACCATGAATGACACTCTCACCACTTGAAAGAGAGGGGCATAGAGTTGGATTACTGCTACATGCCTCTCCCAGTGCACAAAAAACCCCGAGCCCCAGTTATTCACAAGCACAGAACATAAGCCCTGCCTTGAGGACCCTCAGTGATTGAGATGATTTCAGAAATCACTTCCCCCAGGGAGCTGCTGATTGGGATCCTGCATTTTGAAATAGAAATCCCCATCAGTGAGGGAGCCTTACCAAGAGAGTCCACCATCCCACGTATCTCCTCCATGATCTGCATGTGCAAGGCTTTCTGACCAGGATTCAGGAGAGCCCCCTCCTCCTGGGAGAAATGAACATCCACGTCCTCAAAGGCAATTGGACCCTGGTGGAAAAAGAACACATTTCCTTCTCACATCAGGGAAATTAAGAAAAATGCTTACAACAACAACAACAACAACAACAATAATCTTTATTTATACCCCGCCACCATCTCCCCAACGGGGACTCGGGGCAGCTTACATGAGGCCAAGCCCAAACAATATATTACAGTAAAATAAAACCAAAAACATAGGCAACAACATCATAATTACATAAAAACATATGAATACATTAACAATATAACATTACAATAAACACGATCACAGTGACAGTGGATGGGCCACATGTGCAGGATAAAATGTTAAAATGAGTTATTGTTATAACCACCGCCGACACCTGCGCATCAAGCGTCAGCACTGAATCCAGGAGGACCTCCAAACTGCGGACCTGTGACTTCAGACATGATTTAGGTTTCTATTGATTCCATCTTTTGTGTTAATGGCTTCAAACTACAGGACGTGAGATGCCACCTGAACATGAGGAAGAACTTCCTAACTATGTGAGCTGTTCAACAGTGGAACATTCGGCCCCAGACTGTGGTGAAGGCTCCTTTCTTTTTATGTTTTTAAGCAGAGCCTGGATGGCCATCTGTCAGGGTGCTTTGATTGCTATTTTCCTGTTTCTTGGCAGGGGGTTGGACTGGATGACCCATGAGGTCTCTTCCAACTCTAGGATTTTATGCTTGAGCCTGGAACCAGTGACCCCAGGCAGCTCCATTCCTCCTCTCCCAGGAATCCTTCTGCTTACCTGATTCAGTTCCACTTCATCCCAAAGGGGAAGAATCGGCTGAGGATTCGGCAACAGCATCATTCCAGCCTCTGGGAGAGAGAGAGAGAGAGAGAGCAAGGTGTGGAAAACTGATCACATACTCATGTCTCAGAGGTGACAATTACAGTCCTAAAAAGAAACCTATGAGGAAATGACCCTATGAACACAGGAGGGTTCTCCAGCTCAGGAATATGTAAATTTTGGAGTTTAGGCCATTTTATCTCAAGCAGTGCTTTAAGTAGGTTGGATTGAAAGTAGTACTGGGCTTGGTAGTTCAATGGACTAAAGTTATTCTTTGTGATCTGTTTGTCTACCATCTCAGTCTTAGGGCTCATCATAGGGCCCGTCCAGACAGGACCTTTATTGCAGTATCAACTCCAATAAATGAGGGGTTGTCCAGAGAAGAAGCCCCTCATTTCTAACCACAAGGAGAGCCAGCCGAAGCTTGTAATGGAGGATAGGTAAGTTTTTATTACCTTTCTAAGAGGTCTGGGGGCTTGGGGGGAGGTCCTCCAGATGTTCTCTCAGGGGAGTCCAAAGATAACATCTGGACACCTACTCCAGAAATGATACGCTTCTGGGATAAAGGCCTGTCTGGATGCGGCCTTAGCTTCTTACCCTCCAATTCTGCAGTCCCATCTCTTTCCTGCTTGAGTTCCTTCTGCCTGAGACTCTGGGTAGCGTCTGATGGAGGTTTCTCTGATGCAGGGACATTAGACTGGGCTTCAATGCAGCTATCTTGGGCCTGGAAGAGCACAGAGTATTCCTGAAGTAGTATGGAGAAAGATCAGGGTCTTCAAATTTGAGTAGAGCAGCAACTGAGCTTACAGTGGACATGGAGGTGAAAGCAGGAGGGGCAGAGAAAGGGGGGAAAGAGGCCGAGGGAGCAGGGTCTGACTTCTCCCTCACATCTGCCCCATCTTGGAAGGAAGGCAGGAGGTACGTTCAATCTCTCCATCAGTCCCAAGGTGAGTGAACCCAAGAGGCAATGCTCTCACCTCTTCTTCCTGCTTCACGTCCTCCGCCCGACTCAGGAGGAAGCCTTCCGCCAGGGCCACCGCCTGGGAAGAGGTCTCTGCCCCACACTCTCGGACCCAGCTCCCTATCTCTGGGGGCAGGATGCTCAGGAACTGCTCCAGGATCACCAGGTCCAGCATCTCCGCCTTGGTGTGTTGCTCTGGCTTCAGCCACTGGCGGCAGAGAGAGTGGAGGCGGCTGCAAACCTCTCTGGGTCCCTCGCCCTCTCGGTAGGAGGAATGCCTGAAGCGCTGGCGCTGTCTGTCTGAGATATAAAGGTCCACACTCTGGGACTTACGTTTAGTTCTTTCCCAGGATGCTCCATTGCTCCCAATTCCTGATTCAGGTCCAGGTGAGTTGGGTCTCTCCATGTTGGAATGACTGTTGGTTGAAGAAGCAAACTGGATCCAAGATGCTTTTCCTCCCACTTCTTTCTAGGGAAAGAAATCCCTGAACAGGCTCGACTCCAAAATGTTCAGCCAACAATCACTTTTCCTCTGTGAAAGAAAGGCAGAATTAGACAACTGGCTTCCGGGGGGGGGGGGGGGGGCTTTTTCTTGGAGAGTAAAAAAAACCCACAAGCCCTTTATTTATTTATTTGGAAAGGGTTAGCAGAGCTTGTTGTTGTTGTTCATTCGTTCAGTCGTCTCCGACTCTTCGTGACCTCATGGACCACCCCCAGCTCCCTCAAGCTCAGTCCAGTCACTTCAAGGATGCCATCCATCCATCTTGCCCTTGGTCGGCCCCTCTTCCTTTTGCCTTCCACTTTCCCCAGCATAATTGTCTTATCTAGGCTTTCCTGTCTCCTCATGATGTGGCCAAAGTACTTCAACTTTGTCTCTAGTATCTTTCCCTCCAGTGAGCAGTCGGGCTTTATTTCCTGGAGGATGGACTGGTTCGGATCTTCTCGCAGTCCAAGGCACTCTCAGAACTTTCCTCCAACACCAGCTCAAAAGCATCGATCTTCCTTCGCTCAGCCTTCCCTAAGGTCCAGCTCTCACATCCGTAGGTGACTACAGGGAATACCATGGCTTTGACTAGGCGGATCTTTGTTGCCAGTCTGATGTCTCTACTCTTTACTATTTTATCGAGATTGGACATTGCTCTCCTCCCAAGAAGTAAGCGTCTTCTGATTTCCTGGCTACAGTCTGCATCTGCAGTGATCTTTGCACCTAGAAATACAAAGTCTGTCACGGCCTCCACGGTTTCTCCCTCTATTTTCCAGTTGTCAATCATTCTTGTTGCCATAATATTGGTTTTTTTGACGTTTAGCTGCAACCCGGCTTTTGCGCTTTCTTCTTTCACCTTGATTAGAAGGCTCCTCAGCTCCTCCTCGCTTTCGGCCATCAGAGTGGTGTCATCTGCATATCTGAGGTTGTTAATGTTTCTTCCAGCAATTTTCACCCCAGCTTTGCATTCATCCAGCCCCGCACATCGCATGATGTGTTCTGGATACAAGTTAAAAAGGTTGGGTGAGAGGATGCAGCCTTGCCGTACGCCTTTCCCAATCTTGAACCAGTCTGTTGTTCCGTGGTCAGTTCTGACTGTTGCTACTTGGTCCTTGTACAGATTCCTCAGGAGAGAGACAAGGGGGCTTGGGATGCCCATCCCACTAAGAACTTGCCACAATTTATTATGATCCACACAGTCAAAGGCTTTAGAATAGTCAATGAAGCAGAAGTAGATGTTTTTCTGAAACTCCCTGCCTTTCTCCATTATCCAGCGGATATTGGCAATTTGGTCTCTCGTTCCTCTGCCTTTTCTAAACCCAGCTTGTACATCTGGCAACTCTCGCTCCATGTATTGCTGGAGTTTTCCTTGCAGGATCTTGAGCATTACCTTACTGGCATGAGAAATAAGGGCCACTGTACGGAAGTTTGAGCAGTCTTTCGCATTTCCCTTTTTTGGTATGGGGATATAAGTTGATTTTTTCCAGTCTGATGGCCATTCTTGTGTTTTCATATTTGCTGGCATATGGCATGCATCACCTTGACAGCATCATCTTTTAAGATTTTAAACAGTTCAGCTGGGATCCCGTCATCTCCTGCTGCCTTGTTGTTAGCAATACTTCTTAAGGCCCATTCAACTTCACTCCTCAGGATGTCTGGTTCTAATTCATTCACCACACATACATGTTTAAATGCTGAAATGCAAACCTAAAGAGAAGCTTGTCCCTCTCCTCTGGCCTGCAGAAGACCAAAAGCTAAGAGGAGATAATGTATCTAGAAGACACAAGATGCTCTGTTGTCAAGTACGCCCAGGAAGTACCCAGGGAGGGTTAACACCCAAAATGCTTATCTGTAACAATAATGTGTGTGTTTACGTAGTTTGTAGAAGGGTATCACTTAGAGACACTGAAGTACCAAAATATGAGGAAAAACATATGAGAAAAAAACATTAGTTAGGCCTTGGGTTGTCTAACTAAAGGGGTACCCTTCAATTTCAGGTAATGCTGGGTCCTCTTTCCACTTGGGCCTCTACTTCTCCGGCCTCCAGACCCACCTGGCCTCCCATTGAACTCCTACTCAGTCCCAACACACACTGAAACCCCCCCGTGATTCCTTCAGCCGATGCCTCATGATCCATAGCCTTCCTTGTGAAGAAGAACCAAGAGACAAAAATCAATATAACGATTAAACCAAAATACTTGAAAATCCAGATGGCAAGCAGATACTCTGGATGATTTAAAACTGCGGCATTCCTTCCAAGTGTTTTGGGCTTCAGTCCCTCTTTGGCCCTTCGGAGGAGGTCTGGGAAGAAGACTCACCGGAAGGAGAAGAAGCAGAAGGAGGAGAAGATGATGAGAGAAGAGACAGGCTGCAAGGAGGAGGACCACCTGCTGCAATGCAACCTGAGCCCTGCCACATGCACAATGGAGGACCTCCTTGCAGCAACACCAGAGGCACTCCAAGCGGCCAGATACTGGTCAAAGGACATTTAATCAACTACCAAGTTTGCAAATTCTGTGTTTTGTCTGATTGTTTTTGTTAAAAATGTAATACAAATGCCTGGTTGCTGATGACATGATAAATAAAATAAACAGGAGGAGGAGGAGAAAGAGTCCAAAGGAACAGACTCCCCTCTCCCAGCTGGGCAAGGAAGGGTGAAGGGGAGGGAGTTTGGTTCCTAGAAGGACAGGAAATGTGGGTCTGAGGAGGCCACTTCCTTCTTGCCTCTCTGGGAACCACACTCCCTCCCCTTAACCCTTCCTTGTCCAGTGTTACACTGGAAGGAGGGGGAAAGAGCATCTCTCCAAAGCCCTGCAACCAGAGGACTAAAGTTGATGGCAGAGATAGAATCATGGAAGAAAAAATCCGTATTCATAGGGCTGTTAGATATCTTCTCTCCCTGCAGAGCAGAGCCTCCACCCACAACAGGGAAAGAGGCCTCATCCCAGGCTCAAGGCCCAGGGCTCCCTTTTCCCAAGGAGGAGGAACACAGACTTGGGTGGGAGAGACAACAATACAGATTTAAAGATGGGCTGAAAGCCAACCTCAAAAACTGTGGCATAGACACCGAGAACTGGGAAGCCCTGGCCCTTGAGGGCTCTACCTGGAGGTCGGCTGTGACCAGCAGTGCTGTGGAATTCAAAGAGGCACGAATGGAGGATGAAAGAAAGAAACGTGGCAAGAGGAAGGTGCATCAAGCCAACCCTGACTGGGACCACCTTCCGTCTGGAAACCGATGCCCTCACTGCAGGAGACCTCACTACCTCTGAGGATGCTTGCCATAGATGCAGGCGAAACGTCAGGAGAGAAAGCCTCTAGAACATGGCCATATTGCCTGAAAAAACTTACAACAACCCTTGACATGTAGCTGATGAACAAGCACTTCCATTCATTTTTGCTGACTTTGGTAAAGTTTCTTCTTTTAAAAAATATCTCCCTTATTTATTTCCATGGTATTTAAATACAATGAAGATTTCAAGCTGATGTTGTGTCTGCTGCCATTAGTTATTTAATTCGACACTTTTTTCTCACAAAATAGTATCCTTGATCATACAGCAGCTGCAATAAAACAAACAGTCTTTGTTTAAACTTCACAAAATAGGTGCATTACACCTATTTGCCCTCAAACTCATGCCCTCAAACTCATGGTCAGTTTGCCTGAAAACATAACATTTCATAACTATTCTCTTTTTGTATGTCAAAAGGAGTTACGTTGCAGAAGAGATGCAAAACTGCAATCTGGGAAACCAGCTTGAAAGCATCTGGATCAGAATCAAGGGATGTGGGACTCATCCCGCCCCCACGTAGTTTAAAAGCTGCCTTCGTTTGGAAAGATTACCCTGCGCGCAGCATAAGGAGAAAGGGAGGTATGCACGTGTGTAGCGCATTTGTGGCAATAGGAGGAGGAGGCATGTGCCTCCCTTACTGCTTTTGCCATGCATGCTGCCTCTCTTTCTCCTTTTGCCACATGCACGGTAACTTTTCCACAGCAGCTTTTATACTACATGAGGGCGAGATGAAAAATATATATCAAAGGAGCAGCAGAGTTGGTAATTGTCTGGAAAGGCACCCGGTGCACGGGCAAGAGGTGAGGGTCCTGGCAGAAAGGCATGTGGACTAAAGATGGGCTTTTTTCAGCCACATGCCTTCTTGCCAGGACCCTCACCTGAGTATAAGCCAAGGGGAGGTTTTTCATCCTAAAAAAAGGGCTGAAAAACTTGGCTTATACTTGAGTATATACAGTATATATATTTTTAAAATAAGTGGCATGACAATTGTATTTAACCCTCTCAAGGATTATCACAGGGAGCTTGCTTTCTGCTGTTCCAAGAACAGGACCCTTACTTAGGGATTTAAATGACAAGAAAGGGGACTCTCAAACACAAAACAATCTATGCGTAATGTCAAAGTGTATTATCAAAAGAGCATATAGTATTCCGTTTACCAAAATCCCCAGTACATAGCTCAATTCAGTGGTACACAGAAATAAAAAGGAGCAGCCACTCTCAAAACAATCTTCATGGAGCAAATCCAACTCAAGTCCAGTGAAAATGGAGCATTGCTTCTAAATTAAGTCTTCAAAGGAAAAGTCCAAACGGGGAAAGCAATCCTGTGAATTTACTTCACACTGTGAATTTACTTCAAGCAGAGTCACTTTTTGTATAAGCTATCTGGCATGATATAAGAGTCTAGAGTTGTTGACTTCATCAACTCCTGAGGAAGGGGATTGCTTTCCCCGTTTGGACTTTTCCTTTGAAGACTTAATTTGAGAAGCAATGCTCCATTTTCACTGGACTTGAGTTGGATTTGTTCCATGAAGATTGTTTTGAGAGTGGCGCTACATCTTCATTATTGTCTTCAATTTACATATAGCCTCACGACTCAATGATTACTTTGTTTATGTGACTTTTCTTACTGAATGTATCCCTGAAGCCTATATACAGTGGAATCCTTATCCAGACCTAGAACTATTACGTTTGAGAGCGGCTGCTCCTTTTGATTTCTGTGTACCACTGAATTGAGCTATGCACTGGGGATTTTGGTAAATGGAATACTATATGCTCTTTTGATAATACACTTTGACATTACGCATAGATTGTTTTGTGTTTGTGCTGATACCTTACAAGTACTCTGGGATATTGTGTAGAAGAAAGGGGACTCTACCAAATCTTAGGCTGAACTTCTCAAAGCACTCTGTTTGAAATCAGATGTTTACCCACAAAGACTGACCATGAGAAAGGCAGTCCAGTCCCATGGTGATGCCAGTGTCCAGATAAGCAAAAGAGTTCTCCAATACCCAAGACAAACAAAGCAAAATAATCATAATAATAAATGAACAAGAGTTCAAAACCAAGCAGAGAGTTGTCTAAGAGATCAGTCCAAAGTCAAGCCAAGTCCTACTTGAAGCCAAGGGAACCACACATGTTCATTGGGAAATGTTGAATGTTTCGTCTACTGCACCAGAATATCCAGAACCCGCTATTTTCCTGTTGTGACAGATTTTATTAGTTTTGTCCCAGCTCTTTGGATGGTTTCTCTCCTGTACGTAGTCTCTGACAGTTCAAAAAGTATGAACCCTGATAAATATATTTCCTGCATGCCTAGCATTTGTTTGTTTTTTAACCTGTGTGAATTCTCTGGTGCTTCGTAACGGATGAAGTGTGAGTAAAACATTTCCCACAATCTGGTCATCTGTATGGTTTTACTCCTGTGTGAATTCTCTGGTGGTTTAGAAGGGATGAATTCTGAGTAAGAGATTGTCCACAATCCTGACATTTGTACAGTTTCTTTCATGTATGGATGATCTGGTGTTTCACAAGTGATAACTTCCAAGGAAAACACTTCACACACTCCTAGCATTGGTATGGCTTCTCCCCTGTGTAGAGTCTTTCGTGCTTCAGCAAATCTGAACTCCAAGCAAAACATTTCTCATACTTCTGGCATTGCTATGGTTTCTCTCCCGCATGGAGTCTTTTGTGCTTCACAAAGTCTGAACTCCAAGCAAAACATTTCCCACATTCTTTGCATTAGTATGGCTTCTCTCCTGTGTGGAGTCTTTTGTGCCTTACCAAGGATGAACTGTCAGCAAAACATTTCTCACATTCTTTGCATTGGTATGGCTTCTCTCCTGTGTGGAATCTTTTGTGCTTCACCAAGGATGAACTGTCAGCAAAACATTTCCCACACTCCTGGCATTGGTATGGCTTCTCTCCTGTGTGAAATCTTTTGTGTGTCGCCAAGCTTGAACTGCGAGCAAAACATTTCCCACACTCCTGGCATTGGTATGGCTTCTCTCCTGTGTGAAGTCTTTTGTGTGTCGCCAAGCTTGAACTGCGAGCAAAACATTTCCCACACTCCTGGCATTGGTATGGCTTCTCTCCTGTGTGGAGTCTTTTGTGCTTCACCAAGTATGAACTGTCAGCAAAACATTTCCCACACTCCTGGCATTGGTATGGCTTCTCTCCTGTGTGGAGTCTTTTGTGTGTCGCCAAGCTTGAACTGCAAGCAAAACATTTCCCACACTCCTGACATTGGTATGGCTTCTCTCCTGTGTGAAGTCTTTTGTGCCTCACCAAGTCTGAACTGCGAGCAAAACATTTCCCACACTCCTGGCATTGGTATTGCTTCTCTCCTGTGTGGAGTATTCTGTGGCTCACCAAGTGTGAACCTTGAATAACAGATTTCACACATTCCTGGCTTATGAAAGCCTCAGTTTCTTCAAAGATTTCTTCTTGGCTCGGATCTGGCAATTTGTAATCGGCAACACATTTTGCTGATACTTTCCATTTACAGTGGCTTTTCCCAGCACTGAGTGTCTTGTGAAGTCCCATATTTTGGGTAAAGCACTGCCCACATACATTGCATTTGAAGGGCCTTTCTCTGGCAGAACACTCATCTTCTCTGTGGCTTTCCTGGCGCTTAGGAAGGCCCCCATTGTGTCCCAAATGCTTCCCGTGTTTGGTGTTCCAGTTATCTGCTGTGAAGAAGGAGGACAGAAACAATCATTCTTCAGTGTGTGTGATAAGGACTCTAGGGAAATGGTATAAGAAAGAGATGGAAATCATCTTTTTTACAACATAGATATGGAAACAAACAACATATAACTGCTGTCCTCACCCCACCCCTTGTTTGACTGCCTGGAGCCTCTAAGTTTTTGTTGTTGTCTATTTAAAGATGGACACTCTTTGACTGCCTGGCACCTCTAAGGGAAAGGTGCTCCAGAGGCTACTTGTTCCTCAGACCAACCTGTTTTTTTTTATTCTGTCTCCTTCTTTCTGGGAGAATGGATGACTTTTCCCTTCACATTCCAGTGCTTGCCTTTTTCTCTAGCTGAGTCTTTACTTTGCTACCACACAATTCACAATCGATCCCTCCTTTTCACTTCTCTCCCCCAATCTCCAGTCCTCTCTTCTCATGTTCGCTTAAGGTTGGATTTTTCTGCTCCAATGTAGAATGTCCTATAACTAATTTCAGAGTGCTAGAGAGATTGCATGACAAAGCTGGAAAGATACAAGATAGTGACTGTAAAGAAAAAGAGGAGAATAATGATGAAGGCAGAGAAGGGAACAAAAAAAGGAACGTCTGCAGAACTTGGCCAGATATAGTGACATCCACGTAACTCCACACTGGAGAGAGTGGATATT